TCCCCACCTCCCCCTTGATCTAGCCCCCTTGGGATCCATTTTCAGGCTTCTTTCCAGTTCCTGCTGTTATATATTAACCGGGTCTTGCAGCTCCTTCAACATATAATTCCACCCTCCCTAAGCAGGCAGAACACATCCCTAGTCAGGTCAAACTGAGACCTAACTGTAGTGATTGGTCTAGTGGCCATGGGGGCTATGGAGGCAGATCCTGAAGAATGCATTGTCTTGTAGGGTACGTGCGTCATGTGTATAGTCTTCAGGTTAGGGAGTGGGAGTGGGCCACTTCTGCAGGCCCAAAGGTTTCAGAGGAGTCTGAAGTTCTGCTGTGGTTAGATTCTCATCCTTAGTCTTATCCCACCTCTTCCTTATCAGAGCCCTGCCTTTGGTGTTAGAAACTGACCATGGCTGAGGAGTCAACCATTTCTAAAGTTCTGCTCCTTTTAAATGAACCTTAGCCTGGTCCCCAGGACTGTCTGCCTTCTGACTGCAGATAGTGGTTACAACAGCCTGCTAAGGAGGCTCTCTGGCTTCTATGCCTTGCTTTATATTGATGACTGATTGCCCGGAGCCATTTTCCCTCTTTAAAGCATCAGTGGCCACCCAATTTCGCAGTTCTTTTAATTACTATTTCCCCCATGTCCTCAAACACCAGAGAGATTGAATAAGCCAACGCATCCCCTTCTACCCATCTCCCATCCCTGTTTCTGCCAGGTGGGAGCCTTACACAACTGCACAGCTATCAGTGTCCCACCTGTCACCTGGAATCCTATCCTTAGACTCGGTTTCTCAGGACCATTCCTGGTGCCGACTGTCTTAAGCCAGGCTACCTAGAAGCCGGGCTTGAGACAGAATTCAGGTGCATGTGATATGTTGAGGGAATGCTCTGGGGAGAAAGGGAATGAAAGAGGGAAGGGGGTTAAGCAAGGATGTAGTCTCAGTGGGAGATCCACTGGGAGTCCACTGGAGCATGAAACACACCCAAGACTGGTCACAACTTGAGGCAAGGCCGTTCTGAACCTCTACGTCAGTGAGCCGTTGATGTAGGCTGTAAGGGGGTAGGTGTGGTTAACCACCCCACGAGGCAACTCCCCTTCAGCCAAGAACAGTTGTCAGAAGAAGGGGGCGGCTGTGGGTTATTAGTGGCTAACACTCCTAGCAGCTGGGACGGGAATGGATGGGTGTGTCAGCCAGCAAAGGGGATCTGGTTAGGGCTTAACAACGCCACTACAGGCTCCCTAAGCGTCTGGAGGTCCTTGGGAAATCTGATTTGTTCCTCTTTGACATCTTTTGCTCTTTGATCATGTTATCACCGGGACTGGGAGGTGAGGCACTTGGAGTCGGTTTGCCTCTAGCATAAAGACAGTTTTGGTAAAGGCAACTGGCTAAGTCATCTCTGGAGGTCACACAGCTTGTAAGAACAGAAGGAAAGTGAAATCTCCAAAGAGCATTCACTTTGGATTAAGCTCTGCTCTGGAGGAAAACGAGCTTCTGGGGCAAGTTTGCTTCCTATCTCAGCCCAAGACCCAGCTGTTTGAAGGCAGGGACTTCCTAATATCCTTTGTAACTTCTCCATTTATGTCATCAGTTTGCTGTAATAAGTGGCACTGAAACTTATTGGAAAAGGCCCTCTACGTTTGCTTTCAAGGCAGGGAGGAAGGTGCAGGGGGCTGTGCTTTGCAACCCCCCCCCCCAAGCTTGTTCTGGGTAGGGAATGCTAAGGGATGGTTTTTAAAAAAAATCTCTATTCCTATCCGAGGTGCTCAGGTAACTGTATTAAGAGGCTGATTGCAGGGGCAGTTTGTCGAGAGAATGCAAAATGGAAAATGAAATTAGAAGCCAAACTTCTAATGTGACTTCCAAGGGAAGAATTTTGAAATATGTACCACAAAACTCAGGTGAATTTTAAGGTTTGGATCTTTAATTCTTCTCATTCTGAATTTAATCATCTGGAAGTCATTTGGAAAAGGCAAGAAAATTCCTGAGTCCATCCCTATGGCTATTCTGTTCTTGCAAATCTTAGTAGTGTTGTAAGGGCTGTGAAGGTGAAATTCCGTAACCATTCTTCATCAGGAATTAAGTTGTGGTGTTCATCCCGAAAGTGGGCACTGCATTTTGGAGGTTTGGAATTCACCTCTTCCTTTTTTGTTTCCTCAAGGTACTTCAGTGTTCTGCTCCAAACACACAACTGACATTGTAATGACTTCAGTGGCTTCTTTCCATAATAATAGTGAAATAAGTGCTATCATAAAAGATTTGTGCAATCTATGGGGGAGTAATAAGATTCTGATGGAGGACTCAAGTAGGGCTTCATGGAAGAAGAGGCACGGGTAGGATTTCTATAAGCAGATGTAGCAGTGGGGTGTTTGCAGGAAAAAGTTTGTTATGGCTGGGACACATAAAAGAGGAAAGAGAATTGGAGACTTCAATATCAGGCAAAGGAGTTGAGTCTATTCTGTGGGCCAAGAAAGTGGCTGAAGGCTCTGAGGAGGGGAGTAACATCTAACCTGTGTTTTTGAAAGATAATCCTGGCCACAGTATGAAGCTGAGTGGGAGTGGACAGACTAGGAGAGCACCAGAAAGGAGACTGTGGGAATGGGCGTGGCGAGAGAAGAAAGGTTGCCTGGGGAGAGTCAGAATCAAGCCCCTGGGTAGGTGCGGGTGGGTGTGACTGTTGGGGGTTTGACCTTGTGAGGAGGGAGAGACAGAGGGAGGACTCAGGTTAGTGCAGGAGAGTACCTTGTCCTTAATCAAAGCAGGGAACCCAACGGGGAGGAGCAGGGTCGTGGTGGAGGGGAGATGCAACGATGAATCAATTAGTTCTCTGTGCGACCTCGCGGTGGAGACATCCAATAAGTGTCTGGAAGTATGGACCTGGCACTCGGGAGCAAGAGCTGGTCTAGCAGCCCCAAAGACTGTGGAATGCTCGGATCTGAGATGAAATCGGGATGGGATGGGCAGGGGTCTGCCTTTTCTGGAGCCAGGTTTAAATTCTCCGCTTCCCGTCACACACAGTTGTGCAGTCAGATGGCGAGCTGGCGCTCCGCTGGGGCCGGCGTCCTTACATGCAGGCTCGCTAGGCCGAGGGACGAGCGCCGCAGTCCAGTGGCGAAGCGCGCGAAGGTTTGTACTTCACGTTTGGGGGACCCAGGCGCCCCGCGTCTGCTGTCCACTGCGCGGGGCTCCCGCCTCCCCTCGGGCTTCAGCCGCCCCACGCGGCGCGCTCCGCTCCCGCCGACGGCTGGGGGCAG